TCAGCACCTGTAGAAACCAGGGCCCAGCACACAGACTTCAGTTCACCCTCGTCAGTTCATCGCAGGTGGTGCCTTGCATCTCCCGGGACCAGTACTGTGAGTGCGTTAGCCACCAGTATGGGCCTGAGCTAGTGACCATGAAGTACAGGGAAGGAGTCCCATTGATTTCCATGGGTGCTGGATCAGACCCCCAGAGCTGCAGCCCATTGGAGTCAATGGGAGTTTTAGGGGGAGCTGGATCATATCATGTGTGAGAAAAGATGCGGGTGTGCATAGGAGTAGTGGGCAGATGTGGGTATGTAAAGAGTCTCTCAGGATCATGCTAGCTCCTCACATCCTAATATTCTCCAGGGAGCCCTCCTCCCTCCTTTTGAAATGCGTCCCTCACTCCTCTGTTCTGCTGTGGCCCTGCTTTCCTTTGTTCCTGATGGAAGGGAAGAGGTGAGCAGGGCTCACAAAACAGTAGACCCTGAAGCCAAGAGACCGCTACCCTCTTACACCCAACCTTCTTGTTCCTCTTTTCCTTGGCTTTAGGGGCACAGAGTTTTGTGAAAATCCAACCGCATCTGGCTATGTGGTCACAGCGTCTGATCAACAGCTTTCATGTGCAAATAACGGCTCCCGCTAACACAGAGGCTCCTCAGAGGAGAGGGTCAGCCCTACTTCCTCTTTCTCTGCCTCTGTGGTGGGGACCCTATTCCGCATGGCTCTCCTGGTGAATTCTCAATGATCTCAGAAATAACTGAGTTCAGACAGGAAACCCATCCAGTCCTGTATATTAACTGCACAGAGCAGCACTACCCAGAAGCCAGCCCTAGAGATGGAGAATTATGATGGCTCCCTGGGCTTCTCTCCTTTCAGATTCAGCGGGATGCCACCATCCCACAATAAACTCCTACCTCATGGCCTGAGAAATGTTAATAACAGAGGACTTCATTTAAACTGATTCACTCTCTCTGGGCCCTTCCTTTTCTCTGACTCTCTCCAATGTCCTTCCTGAAACCATGGTTCAACTCTGGAAAGTGACCCCATACAAATGCGGGGTGCCATGTTTATTCCGATATTTTTTCCCCCAGCTGCAGCCCCTGCAAACTCAACCTAGGATTCAAAAGTTAGGCTAGATTCTCTCCTTCTGGCATATCATCACCAGTAATAAAAGTGCTGCTGGCCCTTATTTACCCCCATGCAATGCCACCATCTTCAGATTATATCCTCAGTGATGCTTGATGTAGTGTATATAATAGTGTAGTATCCCTTTAAGTGGTTGGGAGCCCTCTAATGATGCTCACCATGTTCTGTTTTAGAAGCCACCAGAGCCCAGTTGGATCAGCAGTGTGTTTAGCTATAGTGAGGCCTCTAATCTTATGTACATTCAGCAAATACAATTATTTGGTCTCCACCGTGCCCATGTGGTTCCTTTATTTTATGTTTGTTGCCTGAAGGGCAAAAACACCCAACATCCAGGTAACCTCATATACAACTAGGTTTGCATAGGTGTAACTGATTGGCTCTGTATTGGGAATTTAGCGTTAATTTCTGATGATGCACAAGGAGGAATAGAATCCAGACCCTCCAGTGCCCCGTACCTTAGCCGTGCTGGCTTGGCAGGGCTAACAGGAGTAAACTAGGTAGTAAAACCTTATTTTTGTCACCTACAACTCGGACACTGGAAGGAAGAAGGTGTCAGTTTTACATGCTCTCTTTTTAGAGCAAAACTGGATGTTAATGACACCACCTAGCTCTTATCTAGTACTTTTCATCCATAAATCTCAAAGGCCCTTAAACTGGCCGCCAGGAAGTTTAGACTTGAAATTAGACGAAGGTTTCTAACCATCAGAGGAGTGAAGTTTTGGAATAGCCTTCCAAGGGAAGCAGTGGGGGCAAAAGATCTATCTGGCTTTAAGATTAAACTCGATAAGTTTATGGAGGAGATGGTATGATGGGATAACATGGTTTTGGTTATTAAATATTCATGGTAAATAGGCCTAATGGCCTGTGATGGGATTTTAGATGGGGTGGGATCTGAGTTACCCAGGAAAGAATTTTCTGCAGTATCTGGCTGGTGAATCTTGCCCATATGCTCAGGGTTTAGCTGATCGCCATATTTGGGGTTGGGAAGGAATTTCCCTCCAGGGCAGATTGGAAGAGGCCCTGGAGGTTTTTCGCCTTCCTCTGTAGCATGGGGCACGGGTCACTTGCTGGAGGATTCTCTGCTCCTTGAAGTCTTTAAACCATGATTTGAGGACTTCAATAGCTCAGGCATAGGTGAGAGGTTTTTCGCAGGAGTGGGTGGGTGAAATTCTGTGGCCGGCATTGTGCAGGAGGTCACACTAGATGATCATAATGGTCTCTTCTGACCTTAGTATCTAGGAATCTATGAAAAAAGAGGTCGGTGTCATTATACCTGTTTTACTGATGGGGTAACTGAGGCATGGGGAAAGTGAAGTGACTTGTCAAAGGTCACCCAGCAGCCCAGTGGCAGAGCCAAGAATAGAACCCAGCTTTCCTGAGTCCCAGTCCAGTGTTCTGTCCAATAGGGAACTCTGAATCAGGGAAAGCAGGGACTTGAAGCTAGTGTCTCCCACGCCCCAGGTGAGTGCCCTAAGACCCCCCACACACACTCCACCCCAGTTGTATTGCAAATACATTTTATAATGTTTTGGTTTCATTCTGTTGCAGAATAAAAACAAACCTCGAAACCTCGACATTTTTCGCAAACTGGAATCTTTGTTTTGCAGCCAGCCCTAGTGCTCCCAGCTGTCAACTCTCTCCAAAGGCATCGTGCGGGATCGGACCCACAGGCAGTACACGTTTACTCTGAAAAGGTGCACCGCATTTTGAAAGGAAATTGCTTCACCCAGCTTCCCACCCCTTTTGTGTTTGCTTTCGATGAAGACAGGAGTGGTTGAGATTTGCAGGCACCAATGTTCTCAGATACTGAGCTCAAAGTCTCAAGTGGGAGCGTTCGCAAAAACTGAATATTACATATCTGCACAAGAGTATTCGGGCTGGAAGTCCTTGCACGCTCATCTAATCAGGGACCAGAAACAACATGACGTGACTTATCTGATCAACCAACCACAATACAGCTCAAATAACCAATATTCACAGAGAACTGCCCAGGGTCAGGCCAAAAAGTTTTCCAAAATTACCCCCAGAATTGGACAATGGATAAATGAGAGGAGATTGCAGCCTGTTTGTGGAATATCCAAGGGGGGAAAAAACAGGCTACGTTCATTATCAATTATTTTCTCAGCTCTAATAGTGAGTGTAAGGTAGGGAAAAGACCAAAGAAAACTCCAGGATCGAAATGCTACAGTTACCATTTATTTTTCTCTTTCTGGCCTCTGTTTAAAGCAAAGATGGACCCCATGCTATAAAATCCAGAACTGAGTCCACATCGAGATTTTGCATTCTCACAAACTTTGAGGATGGTTGGATTCAGGTTTGTGCTTCACTCCCTTACAGAGCGAAGGGCAAGCCACCCAGTTTGGAGTTAGGTTTCAGAGTAGCAGCCGTCTTAGTCTGTATCCATAAAAAGAAAAGGAGTACTTGTGGCACCTTAGAGACTAACCAATTTATTTGAGCATAAGCTTTAGTGAGCTACAGCTCACTTCATCGGATGCATTCTAACACGGCTGCTACTCTGAAACCTTTTGTAGTGATAATCAAGGTGGGCCATTTCCAGCACTTTACAAACTCGAAGATAGCTGGGAGTGCTGGTAGCGTAGGGCCTGAGGAGGGAGTCTACATTGCCAGACAATCCTGCTGTCAGGGTGCCAATGCCTGAGATGATGGGGCGTCCAGGATTTCCAGGTTTATGGATCTTGGGTAGCAGATAGAATACCCTTGGTCGGGGTTCTAGGGGTGTGTCTGTGTAGATTTGTTCTTGTGCTTTTTCAGGGAGTTTCTTGAGCAGATGGTGTAGTTTCTTTTGGTAACCGCCAGTGGGATCAGAGGGTCCTGGCTTGTAGAAAGTGGTGTTTCGTGTTCTCTGTGTATATAAAATCTCCCCATGATATTTTCCACGGTATGCATCCGATGAAGTGAGCTGTAGCTCACGAAAGCTTATGCTCTAATAAATTTCTTAGTCTCTAAGGTGCCACAAGGCCGCCTTTAATTTGGAGTTAGATTCCCTTCCAAAAAGTTAGAGTGGGAGCTGGAACTGAGGTTTTGCTTCCAACCTGTCACTAATTGAAAGGGAAGCTGCCTTGTGAACTTCGATTATATTGCAAAGAGAAAGTCACAATTTAAAAAAAAAATCCTTACATGTAATAAAAATAGTTAACAGGAAAGCTGCCATTTCAACACGGCTAGAGAAACAGGAAGAGCAACTCAACATGTTGTGATAATATTTGGCAATTATACAGTGCATTCCATCTTCATAGCACTGCACAATCGTCTGCTGGCTTAGCTGCACAATCCCCCCCTTCCACTCCCCCAGGAGTAGGAAAGTAACTATTGTCAGCCTGCATTTTACCGATAGGGAAACTGAAACATTAACTTGAAGTGACTTGACCAAGGTCACAAAAGGAGTCAACCAGCTCAGTTCTCCCCTGTATCCATGCTCCACTTGCCACAGAAGAGCCAAAGTGACTTCACACAGCAAGTCAGGGGCAGAGCCAGAACTCAGGTCCCAGCCCAGCACTGTAGCCACTAGACCACACTGTCTCTCTGCTGAATTTTGCCAGATGAAGCACAAAAACAACTCACCTGCTCTAACGAAGGGCAGGTGAGGATGGCAAAGCTAATGATACATTAATAACCCATTCAAGAGAGGCGAACCACCATAGCTGAATGGACAATTAGCATTTGGCATGGTTGGTGTTTTAGATACACACAGAGTTAAACAACAGTTCTCCAAAGGAGTGCCCTGCAAGAGCCTCCAACAGAAGCAGAATTGCAGCTGATTGCTTCCCCTCCCTTCTTCCTCTCTGCCCTGGTTCTTTCTTCTGTATTTCATCTAGTGTTTCTGCTCCTGTGATTGTAACTTGGCCAGGTTGTGATATGAAGCAGAGCACCAGGAAAAGACTGACTGAAAGAACAAAGCAGAAGTGTCTGGATGTCACCACAGACACGGGATTTGCAAACCTGAGAGAGAGAAATGTCCCAGGCTGGAAGGAACCAGAGCTCTCTTTTTAGAGCATTTTAAAGAAAAGACCTGACAGAGCTTTAGGGAGAAAGGGGCAATTGGAGGGACAATGCAGCTGTCCTTCGCTGGGGTGATTCTCTTCCTTGCAGGTGAGAGGTTTCTATTGATCCAGTCACACCAGAGAGACCGCCTGAAAGGCTAATCTACCCACTGAGAGTCAGTATCCTTTGCTTCCCTTTCAAAAGGAGAGAGGCTAAGGGTGTTTATTGTCATCTCTCTACTGGGGATTTATGCTGGGTAACTTGAGCATTAGCACTAATGGGAATCACCCAAGTCCAACCCCTGTGGAGCCAAACGAGACCCCCCCCTATATTTCTCTGCTGGTCGGCAGCACGCTGCATGGTCTGATAGGGACCAGCTGGGGTGGAGGGAATGGGGCCCCTTGGGGCGTTGAGTTCAAGTTACCATTCTGCCTCCTCAACCATTCAGTGAAGAGGAAACGACAAGGTTTGCTTTTTGATTTGTTTTTCAGGCTACTCCTCTGGGCTGGCTGCCCTGGAGCTGACTGGCCCTGGGGAGGTGAGCAGGGCCCTGGGCGAGTCGGTGTCCGTGCAGTGTCGGTACCATAAAAGGTATAAAGGAAATAGCAAATACTGGTGCAGAGGAGCAGTTTGGAGAACCTGTCACACAGCTGTTGAGACCACAGGGTTGGAGGCCGAGGCAAAGAGGGACAGAGTCTCCATCAGAGACAACCCCAGGCTGTGCACATTCACAGTGACCATGGAGAACCTGACGCTGGGAGATGCTGGGATTTACTGGTGTGGGATAAGCAGATTTGGATACGATCCAGGAGTTCCTGTTGAGGTGACTGTTGTCCCAGGTGAGTGTCTGCTCGGATCTCTGTACGGCTCCTACATTGCGAGTGAGGTTGAATGGGGGATGGGTAAGAAAGAGAGACGGGCACTTGAGGGCAGGATGTTCGTACATCCCTACCTGTCCCCAGAGGTGATTTTCTGATCTGACTCACCCCTTCTGGTATTGCTGTGGGCCACGAGCAGGACACGTGCAGGTCTGGAAGAGGCTGTTGCTGTGGGCATGCTCGAGTCAGAGTTTATCGTCTGGCTGCCACAGCAGCTCACTCCCCCAGACCAGCTCAGAAGAACCGGGGGCACAACTGCAGCCCCATGTTGACTAAGGGATCCAGCAGGGAGCTTGCCAGGGAAGGAGCCAAGAGGCTCTCTAACCAGCACAGGAGCAGAGCAGTAGCCAAAGGCAGCGAATGTTGGCTGAAGCTCCTGATCCCTATTGAAGTTTCTTTAAAATGTGGCTCTGCTCTGAAAACCGGCTGGAAAAAACCTGGCACCTTGATGGTCTCTCAGGGATTCCAGGTCAAACGCGCTCCCTTTACGAGCACCAAGATGTTAGTTTTCCAGCTGTAGGCCTCCTGCAAACCTGGAATCTGAGGGCCATGCTGGGCTCCTTCCTGGCAGCTCATCATTACCAGGACTAAAAATTCTAGGGGGCAGATTAAACCTGCTAAAGATGCTCCAGGTATATTCAGTCACTTTTGTAAATGAACTCACACCAGTCCTGGTCATGCTCCTTATCTGCATACTTTCCATGGGCATTCATACGTCTGAGTTTTTTCCGGGAAAGCATTTTCATAAACCAAATTTTACATTGACATTTGGATGTGGAATATCTCACACAGCTACCCAATTGGGGAGTAGAGACAAACTCTTGTTGGGGCTCAGCTGGCCAGTCGCAACTCACCACTGCTACAATCACAAATATTAACCTTTCATATGTGTGAAATTCACCACTGTGCAGAGGGACATTACCCCCTTAGGCCATTTAGCCTCCCTCTGTAGCAGCTAGTTAAAGAAGAGAGGGGTCCAAGCCACAAAATATGGATCCAGATTTTTCACCCCACAAGGTTTGGGGCGTGTGTGTCCAGATCGAGGGCTTTGACTCAGCCCTTTACAGGCATAGGGGCCAACTACAAAATTCAGATCCAGAATTCTCTCCCCCCCCCCCCGGCCCCCACCCCCACTCCCACTCACTCACCCACACTCCAATGTTTGGGAAGAGATTGGATCTTCCCACCCCTAATTTGAAGGAAAACTGCATAGAAATGATTTTCAAATCACTACAGCTACATTTCAAAGAGTAAATGCCTATTTTTAAAAGTCCCTTACACATAATAAATATCAACAGTTAACAGCAAAGCTGCAGTCTCAACTGTCTGATGACCTGGTGTGAAACACAAGAAGGGCAACTCAATATATAACACTTAGCGCCTATACGGTGCTTCCTGTCTTCACAGCAGCACTGTACAAATGACAGGTTTCAGAGTAGCAGCCATATTAGTCTGTATTCGCAAAAAGAAAAGGAGGACTTGTGGCACCTTAGAGATGAACAAATTTATGAGAGCATAAGCTTTCATGAGCTACAGCTCACTTCCTCGGATGCATACAGTGGAAAATATAGTGGGGAGATTTTATATACACAGAAAACATGAAACAATGGGTGTTACCATACACACTGTAACAAGAGTGATCAGGAAAGGTGAGCTATTACCAGCAAAAGGGGAGGGGGGGGGAACCTTTTGTAGTGATAATCAAGGTGGGCCATTGATCCTTGATGATGCATTGGAGAGGTTTTAGTTGGGGGCTGAAGGTGATGGCTAGCGGCGACAAAGAAAATAACAGAATGCCACTAGCCATCACCTTCAGCCCCCAACTAAAACCTCTCCAATGCATCATCAAGGATCTACAACCTATCCTGAAGGATGACCCATCACTCTCACAGATCTTGGGAGACAGGCCAGTTCTTGCTTACAGTCAGCCCCCCAACCTGAAGCAAATACTCACCAGCAACCACACACCACACAACAAAAACACTAACCCAGGAACCTATCCTTGCAACAAAGCCCATTGCCAACTGTGTCCACATATCTATTCAGGGGACACCCCATCATAGGGCCTAATAACATCAGCCACACTATCAGAAGCTCGTTCACCTGCACATTTACCAATGTGATATATGCCATCATGTGCCAGCAATGCCCCTCTGCCATGTACATTGGGCAAACTGGACAGTCTCTACGTAAAAGAATAAATGGGCACAAATCAGACGTCAAGAATTATCACATTCAAAAACCAGTCAGAGAACACTTCAATCTCTTTGGTCACTCGATTACAGACCTAAAAGTGGCAATTCCTCAACAAAAAACTTCAAAAACAGACTCCAACCGAGAGACTGTTCAATTGGAATTAATTTGCAAACTGGATACAATTAACTTAGGCTTGAATAAAGACTGGGAGTGGATGTGTCATTACACAAAGTAAAACTATTTCCCCATGTTTATTTCCCCTCCTACTGTTCTTGTAAAGTGCTGGAAATGGCCCACATCGATTATCACTACAAAAGGTCCCTCCCCCCGCTCTCCTGCTGGTAATAGCTCACCTTTCCTGGTCACTCTCGTTACAGTGTGTATGGTAACACCCATTGTTTCATGTTCTCTGTGTATATAAAATCTCCCCACTGTATGCATCCGATGAAGTGAGCTGTAGCTCACGAAAGCTCATGCTCTAATAAATTGGTTAGTCTCTAAGGTGCCACAAGTACTCCTTTTCTTTTTAGAAATACTGGTGCAGAGGAGCACAGTGGAACAGCCGCTCCAAAGTTGTTGAGACTGAAAAGTCAGAGATCAAGGTGAAACGGGGCAGAGTCTCCATCGCAGACAGTCACAGCATGAGCACATTCACTGTGACCGTGGAGAACCTGACTCTGGGAGATGCTAGGATCTACTGGTGTGGAATAAATATAAAAGGTGCAGGTGATCCTTATTCCCTTGTTAAGGTGACTGTTCTCCCAGAAAGAAAAGGAGGACTTGTGGCACCTTAGAGACTAACCAATTTATTTGAGCATAAGCTTTCGTGAGCTACAGCTCACTTCATCGGATGCAGGTGAGTCTCTGCTCTGATCTTTTGATGGCAACCTGGAGCAAGGGACAGACTAACTCTCCTGTGGGACCAGGCTATTAGATTTTGTGGGGCCCCTGTATACAAGTCTTTTTCCTAATTTAAAACAAAATTATCACAATTATGGCATTGAGACTATTAATGCTATACTAAACTTGCCTTTTAGTTAACATAAAGTCATTCTGTGGTTACATTTAAGTCTTAAAACATGTAGAATATAGTAAAGTTAATTCAAAATAGCCTACTTCTTACCTAAGAACAGCTGTTATATTAGTTTCTTTCTGGGAGGGAGTTTGGGTGCCGGGCGGAGGGGGCTCCAGGCTGGAGCAGAGTGTTGGGGTGCAGGAGAGGGTGAGGGGTTCAGGCTCTGGAAGGGAGTTTGGGTGCAGGAGGGGGTTCTGACCTGGGGCAGGGGATTGGGGTGCAGGAGGGAGTGTGAAGTGTAGGCTCTGGCCGGGAGGCATTTACCACAGGGAGCTCGCAGCCAGCAGCACCGTAGGGCTCAGGCAGGCTGCCTGCATGCCTTGGCCCCACACCAATGGGAAGCCGCCGGCTGCTGACACGTCTCTGCGTGCCCCTGGGGGGGAGGGGAACAATGTGTCTCCATGCAGTGCCTGCACCTGCAAGTGCCCAGTTCCCAGCCAATGGGAGCTGCGGGGACGGTGCTGGCAGCAGGGGCAGCATGTGGAGTCGCCCTCCTGCCAGGGGCTGCAGAAACGTGCCAGCAGCTGGCTGCTTCCGGGAGCAGCGTGGAGCCCTGGCATGTAGGCAGCCTGCCTGAGCCCTGCTGAGCAGTGGCCCCCCTTAGCCTGGCGCTGCAGCCCCTAAAGCCTCTTCATTAATCTGGCCCTGCCTGGAACCCAAGTGTCTTCGATTGGGGAGTGCTGGTGAGAGACTCAGACAGCTATTTATGGGCCCTAGCTTATCCCCAGGATAGCATCCTGGTCACTCAACCCTAGTGTACAGCAATAGGCTTTGTGTTTGGGTCGGTGAGGCTGGAGGAGTGAGCTGATGTGGGCGCCCAGGGGTTAGTATATGTGTGTGTGTGCGTGCAAGCTACACCACCTACTCCCGGGCAGCCCCGTGCACCCACTCCTGCAGCAACTCTCAGTGCTTGGAGGGCCAGCAGGGTGCTGCTGGAGGCCTCCAAGCACCAAAGCAGGGGAATGGCAGCAGTGGGCTGCAAGACCCTCCCCGTCACACATAAAGGCAATCCTGTCGCTGCTGACCTGAGGCTGGGGGCAGAGGGACCAGGGGGCAGGGACTCCTGGCAATGCAGCCAACTGTAGGGGAGACTCACCTACTGAATGCAGGACTGGGATGGGGAGAAGCAGCAGGCCGGGGGGCGGGGGGCAGGTGTGGAGAGGGAGAGCAGGAAGGAGCACAGAGTGGGGGGTGCTCTACCTTGGGTACCTTGCTGTGCATGCCTAGCTCCATTGCAGCAGGTCTCTTGGATCAAGCTGGACCCCCAGGCACTATGGGCTAGTCCCTGAGGGCTCCCCACTCTGGGCTGGCTCAGGAAGCCACGGTGTACTAGAAACAGAAGCAGCCAGCGGAACCTGCTCCTTCTGTCGACATTTCCTTGTGAAGATCAAATAAAGGGAACGACTGTGTGTGTTGAAATTTAAAATCCACACAGTGGCCGGTGTGAGAGCTATTATGGGACAGGATCAGTGTGCAGAACAGAGGGGTGTCTGGGGATCTGGTCCTGGAGCAAGGGGCGGGGGGGGGGGGAAGCCTGTATGATCTCAGAGGAAATCCCTAGTGGGGCTCGGGTTTGAATATCTCCCTTGCTGCAGGGGCTAAATATTTGGCCAATAAACTATTACAGCAAATCGAATGGCCCCCGCAGGCTGAGTGCGTTCAATCTGGAGACTGCCGTCAATGCTTGGAGTACAGCATAGGGGAAACTTAGTACTGCTCTGATGCCCTGATCCAAAGCCCATTGAAGTCTCTGGATACACTCCCACTAACTTCAGTGCGCATAAGGCCCTAAGTGCAACCTTAACTACAGAGCTCCATGCTGTGTACCCCAAGCGAAATCCCCCCTCCATATCCAGTCCCCACCCTGAGATCAGCCCACTCCCATGCAGCGTACCCCAGCTCCTTGCCTTTGCTCCATTACAGAGCTCGGCTTTTCACTGATGGACGGTGGCTGCCATCACCTGGTTGTGTGGTCGCTTGTGTGCGGTGCATTTGTTAGTGACAGTCTAGACCCCAGCGGTCACCTCTCTGCATGCCAGCTAACACTCATACTGTGCGCTAATCGTCCCCCTTGGTGAGAGACCAAGAACTGAACTGGCCCTAGAGACCGATGGCTCCCTTCACTCCTAGGAGTGCAGTGGGGAAGCTTGCTCTGCCTGTGCTGGGAGTGTTCGGTGAAGAGAGGGCTCCAGGCTCCAGCATGGGCAGGCTGGCACCTTTCACCTGAAATGTCGAGACTAAGAACGCAGCAGCCTATGGAGAAGTGACATTTTGAAGACCTCAGAGCACTGTCTTTTCTGGCTTATATTTTCAGCGCTTTCCACTGCAGTGATGGTAACCACTGGATCTCTCTCCCCAGCAATAAGCACAACAAACGCAGCTGAGCACCCCAAAAGGTAAGGGCAGTTAAGTAAATGTAAAAGCAGGGTCTAAGCTGGGGTGTTCAGGGCTGAATTTCCAGGCCCAGCTTCGCACGCGTGTTAGAGTCTGCAGCGGCAGAGACGGGCACATCCTGGTTTATGTATGCACGCTAAGGGGCCGAACGCCTAGCTGCCTGATTGGTGCCTGCAGATGGGGATTTTGCACATCCAAAACCAGAAGTTCCCACCCGCCTGCTGGTGCTCGTGACCCTGCACTGCCAGGCTGATGCACCGTTTCCCGGCCCCGTGTGTCATTGTTTACACAGGCACAGAGGGAGTGCAAGCACGCTGCAAAAGGCTGTGGGAGAACTGCACAAGTTCTGCAGGCTCAGGAAGCTACAAAGCACAGAGAATAGAGCCGCTGCCTCAGGGTCTCTCAGCGCGTACCGGTGTGACAGAGCTAGGACTAGATCTCGAGTGTTCCTGGGCTCCGGTTCTGTGGTCAGGCCACTAGCCCAGCCTGCCTCAAGACCTTTACTCTGTCTAACTGCACTTTCTCTATTGGTTTCCCTAATAACGCTTTGCAATCAGTGTACAAGAAGCTGCCATCTTATTTCTCACCCTTCCCGTAGAGAGGTAGAGACCTTCCCCCAAAGTTCACCCTCCTTCAATCTTCACCGCTCCAACCAGACACGGCAGCAGCAGGCAAATCCTCTCTTTTCTCTTGGCCTGCTCTTCCCTCTGATTCATATTGCCAGCCCCATCTGCTCTGCCTTCCCTCCCAGCCAGTTGTAGCTACAGCTGGTAAATTAAATCTCCCCCTGGATATGGTAACTTAGCCAACTCGCTTACTCTAATTATATCACATCTCCCTTGGCACACGTGCTAATAAATAAAATTGTCTTGGTTTCTGAGCTTCTAGTGTCTGTACAGAACCCAGTTCGCATTTCCCTGCTCTGGCCCTGTCTCTCTTTTGTCCCGTAACATGAGCTGGTCAAATAGCTGACCTGGGTCTCACCCTTCAGCCCCTGGTATAGAAACCGAGGGCTGGTCTACAGCCAAAGCCAGGGTTTAAACCAAAACTTAGGTCAGTCTAGCAATGTTGCTCTGGGTGTGAAACATTCACACTGCTGAGAGATGTCATGAAGCTGACCAAAGCCCCAGTATAGACATCACTAGGTCAAGGGAAGAATTCGTCTGTCTACCTAGCTCCTGCCTCTTGCGGGGGTGGATTTACTACAACGATGGAAAAAACCCTTCTGTCACTGAAGCACGAGTCTACACTACGGCAACATAGTGACTGCGCTGTCGTGTAGACAAGCCCAAAAAGGGGTCAGTTTTATACCAATTCAGTTAAACTGGTGCAACTTTGTGTGTGGACACTTACATGGATCTAAAGCTGGATTGTAGCAGTTCAGCTGGGTCAGTAAATTATCAGCTCCACGCTAAACCCCATATAACCAGTTTGAAAAACTGATAAGAGGAGCCTTCACGCAGGGCCGTGCAATAGTTTAACAGCATCAGTTTTTGAACTACTTAGAGTTAAAGTAGTGCAACTTCGGCATGCAGGTAACCCCTGACTGGAGAATCCTGTGCATTGTTCCCCGGGGGGAGCTGCGCTGCTTTAGCCATGCTTTGTGCAGGTCTCTTTCTATAGAAGGTAGTGGAAGGGCTTCTGCATTTATGAGAGGAGACTAGAGATGGGAGAGGGCCACTTTTTTCAGCTCTGATGAAATGCCCAGTAGGCTGAATTTGGACAGTATCAAGTCTGGCTCTGGGCCTCTCTCTGGAGCTTGGTTGGTTGGAATGGGAATTGGTATTCAGTGGGTCAAGGAGTGGCTGTGGGTCCCTGGGGCTGGGGGTGAACAATCCCTAGAGCAGGGACGGTCATGGCATGGCCTGTAAATGGCTGCTGGCGGTCCAGTATACAGAGGTGCATTTGCACAAATACCTAGGGCAGGGCTGGCTTTGTTCCCCGACTGAATTTCCACCACCCCCTTCACTGACAGGTAGGCAGTGTCCCAGAGATGTATTTTTCCCTTTGTCTTCCAGTTCTCCTTTCACCAGCGCTCTGTTCTTGCTGCCAGTGCTCCTGCTGGTTTTACTTATGTTACTGAGCGGAGCCATTCTCCTGGCCAGAAGAATGATGCTGAAGAGGAAAAAGGGTGAGAGGTGGGGGCTGCCCTGGTCTCAGATGGCTCTGCCCTCCTTTCATTCCCCCTCCCCCCCCCCCCATCACTTACTCCCTTGGCCAATAAAGCTTCGTGAAGCCCTGATCCTAACTGCTTAGTCTGCCAAAAATCCCATGCAAATCAGGAGTTTTGCCTCAGTAGCCAGTTCTCCCATTTCTACATTCAGTGCAAGGGAAGTGGTTTAAAAATTGCAATTATTTAGAGAGCAGCCAGACTGTGCTAAGCACAATAGGGACACACAGCAAAACACAGTTCCTAGAGGGAAAGGCTTTCAATTGAAGCAGGCAACACCCAGGCCCAGTGCAGGGGAGGGGCGTCTGAGCCCTGTTTCACTGTTTCTCTTATCTGATTTTGGTCTAAATCTCTCTCCCCCTGTCTGAACTTGGCATGCGGGGGGGGGGGGGGTAAGGGCTAAGGGACTGAAGACATCTGGGTTCTGTCCTTGTGTGCAACATGAGAATAAAAATTCAAGGCTTAGTCCATTAACATATGGGAGGCACTTGGTTACTACAGCGAGAAGCACCATAGAAAATCCTATGCAACAACCCCCTTCCTCTTCTCTGACTGATACTGAATTCCCTGCACAAACCCCCTCTCATCCCAGTCTCTGCCACCCACGCCGGGGTCAGTCCTACAAGGGGGTGAGCAGCCAGCCCCATTTTCCAGGCAAGGAGCCTACTCAAGCTCGTGCAGTACGTAAGCATGGGCTAAATGCCTTGTGTGAGTGTGCAAGAGTACTCAGCCCCCTGCAGGCTCACGCCTATTTTCTTATTTTACACACGTACTCTCTTTTCTCCTGCTCCAGGTTGCATCACCCCTGAGCCAGTGATTAGTCAGAGCTGCGGTTTAGTGCAGTTTCAAAAATAGCAACAGCCAAGTTACCCAAGGCACTTGCTCAGCCCCAAGTGGAGCAATGAGATGGAGACTGAGGAAGCTGGGGGGAGAGGGGGTTTGTACTAACACTATTGGACAGGCAATGTAATGCACCTCAGAAAGAGACAAGGCTAACAGCTTCCCCACTATCACGGCTAGGGGGCTAAGCCACCACTCCCAAGGGGATATATGCAGCTGACTACACCCCACACACCTGACTTTGCCCTCCTGGTACAGAGATTTCCAGTGAGCAAACAGCAGCAGGCCATCTGCTTCTCCCAGGGAAGTTCCACTTGTCCAGGGTTGCACCCATCTGCCAGGAGGAGATCTGGCCCCGTAGCTTTGCCTACAGTTCATCTGTGTTTATGGGCCACGGCTTGCCAGTGCCCAATGCCACAGAGGGCCACAGAATTCCTTCCTGTTCACAGTCTCCATCTGCTCTTTGCCCACTGGACACGGTGCAAGGGCAACTCCAGAGAATCACAGCAGGAGCAGCAATTGCCGTCTACTTGTGAGTGGGGAATCTGGGTGTAAAACTGGTGCTTATTACACTGGTGAAGGCTGTGGAAGTGAAATAGGCTCAGGAGCTCCAGGGATGCAGGTGGTGGTTCTGGCCTGTAGGATGCATCTCAGCCACAGGGGTGGTGGAACCAGAGAAGATCCATCTCTCGCCTCTTGAAAGGCAGGAGGGTCTAGCTCCATCTGTGTGTTCCTCACCAGTTCTAGGTACATGCCCTGTGCCTCATCCCAGCTATCCCACGTCACTTCCAAAAGTCTATGCCCACCTAGTCTAAGCATTAACAGCTCAGAACTAAGCCCTAGAGAGAGAGGCCAACATTTTTGTGATGATAGTGGTAAAGGGCTGAATGCTTCAGCATTTTACCCCTCCTTATGTAGGATCTGGAGGAGCCCATCTCCCTTCCCCACTCCCAGCCTCGTCACTCCTCCTCTGTAGATCTTCTCTTTCAAGACGGTTACATCAGTGTAATAAGGGTCTGTTACCTTTCAGCTGCTGGAGCCATTGGGCCTAGCCCAGCAGTGAATGAGGTAAGAGGGGGAAATGAGTGCTGCGCTCTGAGACAGTGGGTTAATTCTCCAGCCCCAAGGAGAACAGTAGAGTTCAAGTCTGAGTAAGAGGGTGCTGAGCTCAGTTATTCAACCCCTTGGAACTAAAATAAGAGGAGAATCCAGAGTGAGGGACAGGCTGAATCCCTGGGAAGGAGGTTGGTCATTGTAGGGGGGGCCCAGCCATGATTTGGTCTGGTACATAAAGCATTGGATGTAGTCAGGAATCTTGGATCTGCCAATAGCTCATTGCAAGACCTTGGGTAAGTCACCATCTCTCTGTGCCTCTCTTTCCGGTCTAAAATGAGAAGAACACTAGTTCCCTTTGCAAAGGGCTTGAAGATTCCTGGCTGAAAAGCACTAGGTCAGCACTGCTGGAGAAAGCAGGGAGACTGTTGCTAGGTGTTCAGGGAGTTAGAGGGGAGGAAAAACCAGGGGACAGATAACAGAGGTAGGCTGTGCCCCTGGATCACCCCAGAAGCAGTGCCTGGTGCTGCTGCAGGGGCAGAGAGCGCCAGCTCAGAGATCCCAACCCAGATTGTGTTTGTTTTTTTTTCCCTTCAGGCAATTACCAGCACCGAAAGTGATGTTTCCTATGCAACTGTGAAACCAAAGCCTAGAAAATCCATCACTACAGCCCCATCCCCTGACTCTGCTCAGGCCGAGCCCAGTCCAGAAAGGGCGGAATATTCAGCTGTAGTAAGGATTCTGGCATTCAGTTCTAAAATGCAAGGATGTTTGAAGAGATTCTTCTGATCCCCTTTATTCTCTTTAAATCTTGCTTTTGGGTTCTACAGGGCATGCCGAGTCTTGCACAAGAGCACTTGCATGCAATGTTCATGTGTCTTCTAGCACATTGAACCCTGTTCCTTTCATTAGCAGCAAGAGGAGTTCAGGAAAGGCTCTAGAAAAGTTTATCAAATTTCTAGAGGCTTTAGAAAAGCTTAATCTCCATCAGGTCTGGAAAAGTTTGGACCACCTCACACTCAGAACAGCAGCTGAAGTCAGAGCATAGAGGGCCAATTTTGCTTTGTTCTGCTTTGCACATACAATGTTGACAGACCGTAGTTGCTGGTGGGCAGGATTGAACCTGGGGCCTCTGAAGCTTAGTGCATGAGCTAGAAGCCAGCTGGCTGTCAGTGAAGGCAGTAGAGCAGACTCATTTTAGCTCTCTCTAAGGGGTCTCAGTGCCACTAGATGGGACGGACACCACACCCAGAAGGTATGTGGGTTTTACACAATTTGCCTACATGTGGGTAACCGCATGTACCAGCTGAGAAACTGCAGGCCCAATCTCAGCCCATGCAGGTAGGATGCAAACCACTCACCACCATGCCATTCTTAGAAAGAAACTATTCCAAGTGCAGGAAGATCTGCACGCGCGCACACACGACAGGGATGTGCATGAGCATTAGGAAACCTGTGCTGTGCAACCAGCCTCATCCAAGCAATTGAGTTACTTAGACAAAGCAGCCAGGGTATGAGCGCTTCTGTTCCTCAGCATCTGTTCTAGTTACGGTCTCTCGCCCTTCATTTCTTTTTCTGATCAAGGCTGTTTTAAAATTTCAGGCTCCAGGGATGACAGATATTTCTTACGCCACAGTGAAATATCCAATCCTGGATGAGCAGGCAATCTATGTCAACGTGGGCAGGTCATCCAACCAACCCCGCTTGAGCAGCCCTCTGGAACAAACAGAGTACTGCGAGCTGAAAAGGAAATAGGCTCCCCCCGGAACATCTCCCTCCTCCCTGTAGTTGTGTGGAAGTGCGAAGATTGCAACTGCTTGGAGCAGCGCTGCAAGGGATGGAATCGCCCAAGATGAGCTGGTGCTGGTGGAGACCCAGCCAGATTAAGCAAATGCCAGATGGAACTACAGTCTATTGAACTGTCTCGCCAGAATGGTCTGATGCAGCTGAACATGATGTGGTGTAATGGGGGGGAACGCCGTGGAGAGGCAGAAGAATCACTTCCTCAGTCTTATTTATTTACATGTATGTCAGTCCTCACCTGTGCTCTCTCACGCAAGTTAAAGCCGGAGGGAAAAATAAATAAATAAATAAATAAATCTGATTCTGCAGAGATGGGTCCAAGTCACGTAGGTCTGCTCCAGTTTCCTAGATTTGAGTGGAGAGAGGCTGGGTTTGGGAGCCAGACCCAGGGAGCATGGTGGTGGTGACATCTTCATCCAGCTCTCCTGAGACAGTGAAGCTGCTGAATGGGTCATAGCTGCTCAGAGAGATAAGGGAGAACTGTGGGAGCAGGACCACAGAAAGACAAGGGATGGAGTGCAGCTGGCATCTGGGGACAATGCTTAGACAGGAGCATTCCCAAAAAAAGGCAGCCTGGACTTTGATTGGAATGGGCCCCCCAATGGAAGACAGCGCCAGGGAGGAAAGGAGAAAGACCTCAGACACCAAGCAACATGGAATGGCACCTGCTCAGTGGGATGATGCAGCATTGTTGGGGCATAGGCCTTGGAGAGAGAAGACAGCAGCCCTGGGAGGGGCGAGTTGGCAAGATTGAACCAGAGAGACAGGAAGCGGGAGGGAGTTTTGCATCATTTCACTGCATGCGTTCTGTTGCTAAATGGGCAGTGACCTTTCAAGGGGGAGCTCCCACAGCACCATGGGACAGGGAAAGTGGTATTTGCCTGTGCAGAATACATTCCCTTTCGATAGGGTTGGCCGGCAGCACTAATGCGTGTTCTAGTTCACTGTCATGATACCACAAAGAGCTGATAAATAATTCACAGCTAGGAAGCTGGACGACTTATTGAATAGTCTCCATCCTTTGCCTGTCGTTCCCCACAGCCAAGCTCCCAGGTCAGGGAGGCTTCTGCCTTGCACTTAGAGAACAGAAGTCAGCAGCATCTCTAGTAGGTCTCTAGAGTAGGACAATCCAGGTTGAGGCTCCATGGTGTGATGCCATCAGACCAAGGCTGGCTGCCTATCTGCTTTAACCACACACACGTTACAGGGGTAACTGGGTGACATTTGATGGCCCGTGATACACACAAGATCAGACCTGATGAATAATAGTCCCTTCTGACTTTAAACTCTGTGGCTTTCAGACTCTGGAGACTGCACAAGGCCTGCCCCTATGCCCATTGAAGTGAAGGGTGTCAATGGGAAAAAACTCCCAAAGGGCTTTGGATCAGGCTCATGCATAGTAGCCTGGCAGACTAGAAACAAATCATGTTATTTTAACTCTCTGAATGCCACGATGAAATCACTGTAGCCATGGGCAAATTGCTATTGAACACAGAAGGTAGGACTGCAGCCCCGAGACAGTGGCAAAGCCTGGTGCTTTAAGACCTTGGTCACATCCTATAAGGCCCATAACCTCAGCCTCAGTTGTGTCAACCACCGAGAGGAAGCTGAAGAAGCCAGTGATGTCAGACTTTTACATTACTTTTGTTTTAGTTAGTGTAACCTACAGTCAGGGACATGGTGTTCCAGGGGTGGCCCAGACTCCGCTCGCTGGGGATGGTGGGTGGGTTACAGCTGCCACGTAGAGTGTGGAATTCACTCGCTGAAGATACAGCCTCTCAGGGTGGGGTGGGGGGGTGGTGCTGCAACATTCCAAGTTTGGGAGTAAGTTTAATGCTTATGAAAGGAAGGGGGGTAGGGTGTCAGGGGCTGGAAGCAGCAGCAGCAGCAGCAGCATGGTCCAAGGACAGGAGACCAAACTGGGAGTCAGGAATCATAAGTTCTGTTCCCAGGTCTGCAACTGACCCACTGTCTGATCTTGGACAAGCCCTTTCACCTCTTTGTGCCTCAGTTTCCCCCATTGTGAAGCATGGCAAATGGCTATGCACTGAGAGATCTATGGAGGAAGAGTGGTATATACAAAAGAGTTCAGTAGGGTTATTTACAGGGCTGGTTTGATCCAGGCACACAGAGCATGCATTGTGCTACAGTTCTGCCAACAAATCACTCCAATACTGGCCCAAAGACACATCCTGCTAGTCAAGTCCTGAGCTCTCCCCCAGGTCTGCCGATGGTCTCACCCTTCTTCAGGGCCTACCTTACTAATCCTGGGCTTTTCTACAGCAAAGGCTGCCAGCTGATGAATTACACCAAGTCTACTGTGGTTCTGCTGCGAGGTGCACAGAGAGGGACGGGCACAAGCTCAGACCCTTCACTTGCATCTTCATTCAGGACACCGTAATGAACCAATGCACAACAACTCAGCTCTGAGCGCTCACTCCTGCCTCCTTGGTGATTGTCTAGACAGAGACGTTCCAAGAAGCAGGAGGGCTGACAGGAGTCAGACGAATCTGCATGAACCAGGGACTGTGTGCACTCGGCGGGGGGGGGAGGTTACCACAGCTCCTCCACAAAGTGAAGGCAGTAGGGGAGGAGTGAGGCAGATCAGGCAGGGTATAAAACATTTCCTGATAAGTACCCTGGGTTGGGGAGTGGTATTCTGGTTCAGACTGGATTCTTCAGAGACCAAACAAAAAGAACTTTTGGGATAATTAACTCACATTTAAACTGATTCAGGGCCTTCCTTCTGCTTCATGATCTAAAAAGTGATACGAACTTGTAATCACAGGAAAAAACCCAGTTTCAGGGTTTGAAAGGACTAGCATCTTCCAGAGCCCAGTGTTGGGGTTGGTGGGAGGGAGGGGGTGACCACTGGTCAGCTTTTTATCACACATCTTTTGTTGCTTTAGATCCTCTCTCTGTAATGCTTTTATCTTAAGAATAAAGGTGCTTGCTTAGCAGGAGCTATGCAGTGACTTGTCACTATTGTCAATACACTGGTCATAGCTCTTGGAGAAAGCAAACCACAGACACTTGCCTTTGAGGCAGCCCCAGCAAGCCAGTCTATCACAGTGTAGATCAGGGAGCTGTGCAGCCTTAGAAACCCTGGTCAAAAGGGAGCGAGATGCAGGTCTCCACCCAGGAGAGGTGATGGCTGGGAGCTGGAAATCTTTCCTGGGTGCCTTCTAGGGACCATGGAGCGGGTGGGTGGGGGGGAGAAAATACAATGTGTATTTGCAAATATGCAAGCAGCATGGCAGCCTTTGTACTAGAAGCATCTGATGCAACCGGGTCTGCTAAACAAAAGTCTGCTGCTGCTCTGGGACTGGCTCTTCTCTACCAGGGAGAACTGAATGAATGGGTGTGTCAGAGCTGCAGGAGATGGGCCTGGGGACCTCCACTATTAATATGACAGTAGCACTCAGAGGGCCCCAAACAAGATGGGTCCCACTGTGCCAGGGGCTGTATAAGCACATATGACAACCTGGTCACTGCACCACCCTGGTCTAAGGAGAGGAAAGGGATACAATATATGGGGGAGGAGGAGTGAAATTTACCCCTATACGGAGAGCTCACACAGTCTTCGGCACCACTTGTCTCTAGTTCAGGTGTGGGCAAACTTTCTGGCCTGAGGGCCACATCTGGGTGGGGAAATTGCATGGAGGGCTAGGGCAGGGGGTTGGGGTACGGGAGGGAGTGTGGGAAGGAGTGCAGTGTGCAGGAAGGGGCTTAGGGTAAGGGGTTGGGGTGCGGGAGGGAGTGTGGGAAGGAGTGCAGTGTGCAGGAAGGGGCTTAGGGTAAGGGGTTGGGGTGCAGGAGGGGTTTGGGCTCCAGCCTGGCATCACTTACCTGGAGCGGCTCTAGGGTGGTAGTGGTGCACAATGGGGCCAGGGGGCTCTACGTGTCGCCCTTGCCTGTGGGTACCTCCCCCAAAGCTCCTGTTGGCCGTGGTTCCCCATTCCTGGCCAACGGGAGCTGCGGTGGGTGGTGCCTAGAGGCAAGGGTAGTGCACAGAGCCCTCTCCCCCACCCCGCAAACCAGGAACTGCAGGGACATGGTGCTGGCTGCTTCCCAGAGAGGCACGGGGCCTGTGGTGCCACGGGGGTGGCAATCCCGTGGGCCAGATCCAAAGCCCTGAGGGGCCGGATCTGGCCTGCAGGCCATAATTTGGCCACCCCTGGTCTAGTTGCAGCCCTGAAAATACAGCTGAAGTGGAATTTAGGTGGTGCTAGGCCTTACAGGCAGGCTGTCTGCACAGGGCTGCATTTCACACAGTGATCAGGGAGCTAGAGGATGTACCTTGTTAGCTCCAGCTATTTTCTCCCTCCCAGTCTGATCCTGCTGACAGGCACCTGAAGTAACCCCAATGAACACACCTGTGTAGAGTTCCTTTCATGCAGGAGCAGGGCCTATATTTGTTGTTGCACTGGGGGGTAGTTGAGAGTCGCCCTCGGCAGCTCTAGAGTCCTTTTCTAGTCACAAAACTGAGCCTCCAGCCCCAGCAAGCAGCAGCCACCACCAGCTCCCTGGGCTACCAACTCTCACTGCACCCTGAGGGGTGGAGTTTCCCTTTGAAGGCAGAGATGTGTGGCTTGCTAGATGGAGATCATCATGTTCTAACTGCACCTGCAGGTTTCCCCAGAGGGAAGCATCACTTCAATATTTTCATACCCGTATTAATGAAAGGGCGGGGGCGGGCGGCGGGGGGGGGGGGAGAAGAGATGGTGTTTGAGCATCACAGCTGCAGCTCAGAGTGGTAGCCATGTTAGTCACAAGTACTCCGTTCTTTTAGCTGCAACTCAGTGGGTGGAAAGTAATTTGCACCTTGCTGACTCCACAGACCGGCTTCCTTTTGTGTCCTTCCCACTTAGCTCAGCTGGCCAGTCCCTTTTATTTGGGGAAATAGATTGGGAAATGAAAATGCAGTTATTAGGCAGAGTCCTTTGTGGATCCACAGTATCCTACAGCCAACAGGCCTGAGCACGTCACAGACATTAATGAAGGCTGTCACCTCCCTCGGAGACTAGTATCCTTCCCGTTATACGGATGAGCAGGTTAAGGCAAAGCAAGGTTCAGGGACTTGTAAACTGAGCGGCAGAGTTAAGCATAAATGAGTCCCAATAACCTGCTGCACCTCCAGGTGTAACTGTCTCTACCCTGTATGAGAATGAACAGGGTTTTCAAAGCTGCAGAAGGATGGACAGATGAATCAGCACAAATGTAAAACACACTGAAAGCCTCTTAGCCTGTTGTAAGACACACTG